GGGGGAACTTATTAATATAATAATATTAATTAACTATAAACAATATTATCAACTGACTCTATTTGCTATTTTGCTAAGAAGCATTTGGATTCTTCGATCCATTTTAACCAAAAGGCGTTAATTTGCCATAAAAAGCCATCGAGTTTCGGGGCGTTTAATTTCAGAAAGGATATTTTGAGAAAAAATCAATGGGTATTTTTTTAGTACAGAAATCCATCTTCTAATGGGTTTAGAACTCGAATCATTCTAGGCATTCTATCCAAAACATATGAGATTTCTGGCAGTTTTCGTCCAGCAAAGGAACTTAAAAATAATTGATTGGAAGCTCCTCTTTCGCTATTCCACAGCTTTTTCAACTTTTCCAACCGATTAATTTTTTTTGGGCTTTACAACTTTGGGCTTTGAGCAGAGATAAGTTGAAATTATTATTTCGCTTTTCCAGAACATTTTTCAACCTTTGAAACTTTTTGTACCTTCTATTGAGCCTTATAGGTTGACGTATAACTGAAACTCGCCTGGCTTCTAGCGCTGTTATGCCAGAAGAGAGATTTTCAAAATAAATAACTCGACATTTTCCTTCAGCTATTCCAGGCTGTTTTCCATAATTTTTAACTGACTATGTGCTATTTTGCTAAGAAGCATTTGGATTCTGCCATCCAGTTTAACGAAAAGGCGTGCATTTTCTTCGAGAAAAGACCCTTTGAGAAAAATTGGCTGCATAATCTTCTTCGGCTGTTTCCATGAGAATCTATCTTCTATTGGGCTTTAGAATTTGAGACGATATTTTTTTCCAATACTTTATCGGACGTTTGCTTGCCACTAAGGGGGCGAATTTCACCGTTTCAAGGTACGATAATTACAATTTTAACTATGGCTTAAATAGTTTCTTGTAGACAGTAGGACAATTTAATTCAGACTGACAGCTGAAGCGATTTTTCCAACTAAAACTATCGGAATGAAAATAGTTTCACTTACGCGAGTCACCGTAAAATCGGCTTGAATTCGAATAAAAGAAGTATTTTTTCAGCACTTTTTCTGGCCAAAGTGGACGCTTTTTTTATTTGTCCTTTGGACTGGACGTCCTTTGCGCCTGCCACCCCTGGGGGGTCACTTAGCCAGACTTTTATCCATTGGGCAATTCACCGGTTGTTTTCGTGTGTTTTGAGTGGAATTGAATTTTTCATACGATGAAAACGAGTGATTGTGCATAATCTAATCGAGCCACTTGTTTGATATCCAGACGCATTGCAATGGTCTGCATGAAAATGTCGAGTTTTGTGGTTTTCTGCTGTGTTTTAGTGGCGCTAGCCCAAAATATTGCTGATAGGTAAAGTGAAACTTAAGTTTTAGTCGCGGTGTACTGGAAGCTACTATCAACTTTAGCTGCTCCAAAAAAAATCGCATATTTTTGAGGTGCAGTTGAAGATTTTATTAATTTCACCATTAATGGACTACTGAATCGATTTAGCTATTTTAATAAAAAGCCATCGAATTTCGGACATTTTTATTTCAGAAAATATATTTTGGGAACAATTCACTGGACATTTTTCTTTCGTACAGAAGTCCATTTTCTATTGGGCTTTAGAACTCGAAGTATCCTATCCTTTCTCTCCCAAACCCATGAGATTTCTAGCAGTTTTCTCCCAACAAAGGGACTTAAAAATAATTGATTGGAATCTCCTCTTTCTCTATTCCAGGATTTTTTAAAACTTTTCCTACTCATTCAATTTTTTTACAACTTTAGTCATTTTACACATTCTTACCAAAACTCATTGGATTTCTAGCAGCTTTCAGCTCTTTCAAGCCTTTTCCAAAACTTTCCAAGTCATCCTATTTTCTATTTGGCTTTTTCGTATGGGTGACTTTAAGGAAAACCCCTTGGTTCGAGCAGTTTTATTCCAGAAAACAGACTTGAGCAGAAATAACTTGAAATTATTATTTCGCTTTCCCAGAAGTTCTTTCAACCTTTGAAACTTTTTGCACCTTCTATTGAGCCTTATAGGTTGACGTCTAACATCGCCTGGCTTCTAGCGGTTTTCTGCCAGAAGAGAGATTTTCAAAATAATTGACTCTAAATTTTCCTTCTGCTATTCCAGGATGTTTTCCAGCATTTTCAACTGACTCTATCTGCGATTTTGCTAAGAAGCATTTGGATTCTTCTATCCAGTTTAACCAAAAGGCGTCAATTTGCGTGAATTTTTCTTCGAGAAAAGACCCTTTGAGAAAAATTGGCTGCAAATACTTCTTCGGCTGTTTCAGAAATTTTTACATTTCTCCTTGAATCTATCTTCTATTGGGCTTTAGAAATTGAGACGATATTTTTTTCCAATATTTTAGCGGACTTTTGCGTGCCACTATGGTGTGAATTTCACCGTTTCTAGGTACGATAATTGCAATTGTATCTATGGCTTAAAGAGTTTCTTGTAGACAGTAAGACAATTTAATTCAAACTGACAACGGATGCGACTTTTCCAACTAAAACTATCGGAATGAAAATAGTTCCATTTACTCGAGTCACCGTAAAATCCGTTTGAATTCGAGTAAAAGAAACATTTTTTCAACACTTTCTGCCCGAAGTGGACGCTTTCTTTATTTGTCCTTTGGACTGGAGGTCCTTTGCGCCTGCCACCCCTGCCGGGGCCACTTAGCCAGACTTTTATCCATTGGGCAATTCACCGGTTGTTTTCGTGTATTTTGAGTGGAATCGAATTTTTTATACGATGAAAACGAGTGATTGTGCGTAATCTAATCGAGCCACTTGTTTAATATCCAGACGCATTGCAATGGTCTGCATGAAAATGTCGAGTTTTGTGGTTTTCTGCTGTGTTTTAGTGGCGCTCGCCCAAAATATTGCTGGTAAGTAAAGTGAAACCTATTTTCCGGTCACTGTGTATTGGAAGCAACATTCAACTTTAGCTTCACCTGCTCCCAATAAGAACGCACATCTTCAGGGTGTAGTGGAAGATTTCATTAATATCACCATCAATAGTTTACTGGATGGTCTGGATGATCCCCTGAAAGTTCCGTCACTTTTCGAACGTTACAACAACGTACTTTTAACGTAAGTTATGACGACGAGTTTTGATTAACTGGGAGATAAATAAGCTGTGGTTTTATTTATTCGCTGCGGTCCCGCGGGACTATATCCGTTCTGATTAAATCACGTAGCGAGTTCAATTTACCGTCAGGCTCTATTAGTTGAGCAAGAAACGATTTGGTGTTTTTTAGCGGATGGCTCAATGTGTCCCATTTGGAGCTGGTTGGATTCAGTAGCATTGTTGCCAAAAGTATCGATGTGGAGTACCACGCCCTAACACCATCTTCAGTTAATTTAACATTGGAAATTGGCGGTTTGAGTTTGTTCTTCGATTACGAAGCCAGTCTGTTACTTGGGCAGCTGTTGCCATATTTCGCCTTGGGTAATCTCAGGTAATCAACAACTCGTATCCCAACTATCAAACTTTTTATAAGATAATTTCCTTGTCCTCCGATGTTTCCTAATCAGAAAATGTGTAGGTACTTGGTTTAAGTCGATTTCTTTCGCTGCTTTCGATATATTTCACCATGAAACCTCTAGTAATTTTTCAAGTTGAAACAAGAAAAAGTTTTTGCTATTTCTATGCCACAAGCATGAAGTCGCAAAACGTTTTTTTTTTATTTTTTTGACCATTATCTTTACTTACGTAGTGGTCTCAATAAATATTAACGTGTTGGCCTTGCAGCCATAACTTTTCTAATCTTGATCCGATTTTTAAAATCTGGGCCTCAAATTCAAGCTATAACTTCCCAGCCGAATTGAGAAAAATAGCGCGTAGCAACATAGCGCGTAGCAACATAGCGCGTAGCATGCATGAACGAAATATTTAAAAGGGTACTTTAGTTGAAAGTCTGTCAGAACATATTTCGGGGGCAGTTCTGATTTGAATCAATTTTCACGCAACCCCGCAATTTTTGTCTGGATTTGTGGATGAACTTTTAGCCTGAACATGAGCTCCAGGTGGTGAAAATCGTACCAAGAGCAGAAAAGTTATTGCTGCAATACCAAAAAGTCGATTTTTTTGGGACCACCCTGCAAACTGTTAAAAGGTGTTTGGATTCTTTGTAAACTTTTGGTGTTTAAATTGAAAAAGACTCATTTTTTACAACCAGGAGCATCAGGAAGTGACCGAAATTATGCATTTTCCTTTTGCCACCCTGTAGAAAATTTCTCTGAGGTGCTTAATTCTTGCCAAAACGCCGACTAATAAAAAAACTAAATATTTGTAAGAATAAATCTGCTTCATAAATTCAATCTTGAGACTGTCAATTCTACTCTTATCAATTATGATTTTTTTTTTTGGTTTTTCTTCTAATAGTGCCAACTTGGATTCTTTGGTCATCAACTTGTTCACTCTGGCGGATGTTTCTTTGGTGCCCACTAACATCAGCAACTTCCAGAATGCTTCCGTGGATTTTTCCGTGGGCAAAAACACTTGGGTGGGTTTCCTCCATTATTTTTGTAACAGCAGTGAATTGCTTCCTTCCAGCTCCATGTTGAAGGCATTTACAAAAGCGACGATATCAGCAAGGATGTGAACGAATTCCTCGACATTCTAATAGCAAGAGTGATTGACTTTGTCGACTACAACCATGAACGCATCAGCAGGATAATCAGCCCAATTCTGCAGGAGATTTTGGATGCAATTTTCAACCAGAAATCTGAAGAAGAATATTGAAACTGATAAATTAATAAACTGTTGAAAGATCAAGTGTGTTTGGTCCTTAATACTAGGCCTGGGTAACTCAGTGAACTTTTAGGAGCTGGCGCAGTGCTACGCTAATGGTTTGGTGCTCCAACCCAACGCACCGGCGCAGTGACTCAGGTCCGTTTCTCGGAAAATGTTGATGACTTTTTCGGAATTTTTCAGTTTTAGACAAGTTACTCTTTCTTCTAAATGCGCAAATTTCTAAAGTTTCACTTAAAAATGCTGACAATCATTCAGAATTCATTCATAACGCTTTATAACTCATGAACCGATGAGTTATAACGCGTTAACTCAGAGAGCGGCAACAACTCAATAGCGCAACTTAACACAGTGTTACCCAGACCTACTTAATACCTTATCCCCAGTTGGTTTTTTTACCGGATGTAAATCCGAGTCAATAAGCAAGAAAACTGATGAGGTTTTCGCCCTTTGAGGCCGGTGTAGAGAATAATTTATTCCTGACGTTTCGCAGGCAAAAAAAAGCCGAAACCCGAGGACTTTTGGTCAAAATATATCTGAAGATGTATTGCACTTGTGCCTGAGAAACGTCGGGAAGAAAGTTTTTTCTGCGACCGGAACTAGTCCGGGACCTTTTTCGGGCACTGGCCACAAAACTTTTTGACAAATAACTTTAGGGCAGCACTGAACTGAGTGCGTTTCTTTCAGATGGGGGTTTCACTTGACGCAGAAGAGAGCGAGTCATCAGGCTTGAAGGAGGAAATGGACAATCGGAAGTGATCGGTTGCAGGGCCGGAAGCGGAAGTGACAACATGTCCCGGGACGACCTGCAGCACATCCGCGACCGGCTGCTGCAGCTGTCCGACAGTCCATCAAGTCAACGGATGCCCTTCAATGTGAAGCGAAAAGTCGCGCTGTCCAGACAGCCGTCCAAAGCGCCCCCATCCAAACTGAGCATGCAAGATTTCGTGCGAATGGATCCCGGGTAAGTGTTTCAAGCGAGGAAATTCGAATAAGTTTTTAATTTCGTTCCGTTGCCTCTGAATCCAACAGTTCGTTTATGAAATGCGACTAAAAACATTCGGGAGGCGAAAGTATTAAATTCTTAATTTCCGTGAAAAGGGTATCAAAATGTCGGAATTAATTTCATAACGAGTCGAGGGTGTATTTGCTGGAAAGGAAAAAAAACCCTATTTATGGCATTTCATAGGATATCAACTTCAAAAGGTGGACGGGTGCTTGGAAAACACGGGACGTTTTCACGTTGTATTTGTGTAATGGGGAAATCACCGAGATTCGCTCCGGATAGCATCCAGACTCTGTAATGGGATTTAATTAGCAAAGTTCTTTGTCTGGATTGTCGTTCCAGGACTTTTTCCGGAATTTCCAACTCGTTGTGTCTTCACAATTGAATCGTTGTAGCTGTGCGAACAAAACCTATCGGTTTGCGCGCAGTCTTCTCCCCAAAAAAGGGAACTGTGAGAAGAATGGACTGGAAATTCTTCTTCTGATATTCCACGATTTTTTTCAGCTTTTTCAACTCATTCTATTTTTTAGGGCAGTTTTCTTCATGGAAAGACAGTTTGAGACGAATTGGCTGGAACTTTTTCTTTGACTATTTCAGCATTCATAACTTTTTCTAAGAACTAAATTATTGCAAAACACATCGGTTTCATACCATGTTTTTTTGCAGAAAAGAGACTTTGAGAAGAATTGCAGTTTTTTCGGCTAATTCAGTATTTTTTTTCATAAATTTCCATTCTATGTTCTACTATGTCTTAATAAACATAGCCGTGCTAACAAAAATTCGTAAGTTTCCGTGCATTTGTATTCTAGAAACGACCTTTTGAGAAGGATTAACTCTTTCTGACATTTTTCCTCTGCTATTCCACGGTTTTTTCAAAATTTATACAAGTGACTGAGTTCCAGAAAAAAAATGGCCATAAGTTCTCTGATGCAGAAGCAAATTTGAAACTTTCGGGATTTAGAGTAGTCCTGGGTAACTCAGGTTCAACTGAATGGTTTGGTGAGCCAACCTAACGCACCGGCACAGTAGCTCAGTTCCGTTGCTGGGAAAATGTTGTTAACTTTTTTTACTTGTTTTTAGATTTATTTAAAGGGTCATTTATCAATAATCTTTTTGGGAATTTTTATTTTTGAGAAAAATGATAAGATACATTTGATTGGAAAACTTTTTGCAGCTCTTTCTAGGCATATCAACATAAACCTTTTAGTTTTTGAGCAATTTTCTTCAAAAAAAGACATTAAATTAAATTTAGGAACAATTTATAATACGCAATTCCGGGATATTTATCCCATTTGCTACATATTCCATCTTCTATGGTGCCTTAATATTGTGGTTCATAATAGCCAAAATCCATCTGTTTTCAGCATTTATTCCCCAGAAAAAACAATTAGAGCAGAATTTCACTGACATTTTCTTTCGTTATTCCATAATTTGTTTGAGTAATTCGAGCTTATTCTAACGGAAATGGTGAACTTTCAGTTTTAATTCAGCGTTAATTTAGAAAATTGACTTCAAGAAGAGTTGACTTGAAATTTTTCTTCCGTTTTTCCTGGAGTTCGACTTAACTCGTCGATTTTTGTTCAATTTACTTAAATTTTTTTGAAATTGAGGAAAAACAGACTTGGAGAAAAATTTATTCGAACTTGTTCTTACCTAATTCTAGGACTTTTGTCAGCTTTCTTTTCTCATTCTATCTTTTATGGTGCTCCAGGGCCATTTTAACAATATCCCATCGACTTTTGTGCAATTTTTTCCACAAAATATACTTTTCAAAAAATTGACTGGGCATTTTCCTTACGGAAATCCATTTTTTAACTCATTCTATCTTCTATGGTGTTTTGTTACCTACTATTTGTTTTCCATCAGTTTTTTTGCAGGAGAAAAAATTGAGAATATTTGACTGGAAACGCATCTTCTACTATTTCAGCATTTTCAATATTCGATCTTTGTTCTAAGCATTTTATTAAGAACCCATCGATCGTCGATCTTAGATTATTTTGGTTTCCGAAAAGCAACTTTGGAAAAAATCAATTGGAGATTTTTTTGCGCAATCCCAAAATTGTATTCAGCATCTTCTACTCATTCTATCTTCTGTTGCCGATTAGAACTTGGGTCATTTTTGCCATTTTATACAAAAAAACTTTTGCTTTTTGTGCAGCTTTCTTTCACAAAAAATACTTTAATAAGAGTTGACTTGATATTTTCTTCCGGTATTCCAGAAATTTCTTGAGCACTCTTCTATATTCTATGCAGTCTTAGTACTGTGGACATTTTAGAAATTTTAACAAGAACCTGTCGATTTTTGTGCCAATTTCTTTCAGATAAAAACATACTTTCAGAAAAACTGACTGGAATCTAGGCACAGACCTCTTACACAATTCCAAGATTTTATGACACATTCACTTATTCCATCTTCTAAAAAAAATTCTTCCAAAAAAAATAGATTTTGAAAAGAATTGCTAGGAAACTTTTCTTTTGCTGCTCCAGGATTTTTTTCAGCCTTGCCACCCATTCTATCATGTCAATTGGCTTTAAATCTAGCCATTTTATCCAAAACCCATCGGTTGTTTTTCAACAGTTTTCTTCCAGAACAGAGATATTGAGAAAAAGTTACTGGAAGTTCTTCTTCAGCTATTCCAGGATTTTTAAAGCACTTCGAACTCGTTCTATCTTTTATTGGGCCGCAGCCGCTACAACAAAAATTCAACGAATTTACATGCATTTTTCTGCTAGAAAAGACCATTTGAGAAAAATTGCCGGAAAGTTCTTCGTTCGCTATTCCAGTTTTGTGTCAGCAGTTCCAACTGATTCTTTGTGTCTTAGTACTTGGGCAGTTCTAGCCATTTCCAATTTCCTGCAATTCCAGAATTTCTTCACCACTCATTCTAGCTTCTATGTTGCCTTAGTGCTTGAATTTATTAGACAATATCTAACCACTAAGGCACGACTTGACTGTCAATTCTTCTTTCTCTATTCCAAGATTATTTAATCATTTGAAAAAACATGAGAAAGATTGACTAGAAATTCTTCTTACGATAGTCCGAAATATTTTTTGAATATATTTAGTCCTTGTGCACTTTTCTTTCAATGAAGAGATTTTGAGAAGAACTGACAGGAAATTTTTCTTCCGATTTTCCAGAATATCTTCGATCAAAGCCAATTTCTCTAATTTTTTATTGGACCTTAGCCTTGGGTCTTTTCAGCCATTTGCATAAAAAAACCCATCGATTTTTGTAAAATTTTGTTTACGAAGAAACTAACTTGGAAAAAAAGTGCCTGGAATTTTTTTTTTGCTACCCCAGGATTATTTTCAGCAATTTCACCTTCTATTGGGCTTTCGTGATCGAGTCATTCTATTAATTCTAACACAAGCCCAGCACTTTTCGTGCATTTGTTCTCCTAAAAAAAAACTTGGTTTTCCAACTAAATGACCCTCTAACAGCAAGAAAAACAGCCGAGCCTCAGCTGAATTTGCACATTGTCTTGCCAAGTGTCGACAAGCTGAAATTGGCACTGAATAATCGAATTTGCGATGTCGACATAGTCAATGGGAAAATGGTGTGAATGCTGATGCAGATTTGCGTCAACAGCATTTTCGCTGTTAACTTGCAGAACCAAATGCGACTCTGACCTCAATTATTTGAACTTGCTGAATGGAAGAAGGCGCGGAGAAGAACCAACCTGCTCTTTGATCACATCAAAGTTTTAAACGCCTTTTTCTTGAATGGACAGAGCTGATTTAATGTTGTCCGAACGTGAACCGCTCTGAAAAATACTCCTCTGAAGAACTGAAAAAATCACCAATTTCACTGGTACTTTTCCTCTTTTTCTTCCAAAGTTGCCATACTTCTGATTCAATGCGCGTTGCATTTATGCCGTTTTTTCACCATTGCTCGTATGTTTGCTGTTTTCAATTCTGCTCACATTGAGTTTACTGATGGATAAATATTATCCAACGGGTTTTATTGCTATAATAATTAGGCAGGAAATAATGGCTGGCCCATTTCACCCTCAGATTATGTACAAAATCTGATTAGCTAAAATCGAGCATTTAACCTGTAATAATTCACTGGCACATTTATGCTAAATTGCAAAGGGTAAGCTTGGTGTTTATTGATTTTCATCACAATGTCTGACTGGTCGGAATGTAACAGGCTTATTCAACGAATTAAATTATTTGCCAATTGTTTGCATGAATGCGAATTATTCAAAGTTCTTGTGTGATTCAATGGAAATGTCACGAAAAAAACCGAGCAATTTTCCCTTGCTATTAAGGAAAATAAATCGAGAAATCATTGCCAATACCTTGCAGCTATCAGGGATTCGAAAATTTCCATCGCCGACACAATGGGGTTGTGTTAGTGGATTGAATAAATGGTATCTTTGCTGTCGAATGGAGTTTATCGATTCCGCAACTGAATAAAACATCCCTTTTACCAGCAACGCGATACACGTTCTTTGTTCAACCATTAATAGCGTCATTTAGCGTAGTTTTACTTTCAATGTTGGGGTGATTTTTTGTTCTAGATACACTCCGGACATCGAGCACTTGGTTTTCCCAAACTCCCGAAGACGGAGCCCTCAGCAGGTGGCACCGGCCGTTTCTGAGCAAACAACCACCGGTAAAACACGCTCTCGCCTAGCGGAAATGTTCGCTCTGAGTCGCCATCTTCAACGATCGTCCGCAGAACGGCAGGACAGCAAGAAAGGGCATGTCAATGTAAGTTTTATGCTTGAATTTCACCAGTTGTTTCAATTTGATACTTTTGAAAGTGTTGGTAAAGTTATCTTGGATAAAGGGAAGTCTCTGATGATGCCCATAAGGATGAAACTTTGTGCTTCAAGCGGCTATAAGTTGTGGGAATACTGATCAGTAAAACAATCTTAATTTGATGCAAATGTTACGTACTTTTTGTAATCAGGAAGAAAAAAATTTGTATTTTGGGCGATTTCTTCGAAACTTTTAGTATCTATAGAGTAGGCCTGCGTAACACTGTGTTGAGTTGTGCTATTGAGTTGTTGCCGCTCTCTGAGTTAACGAGTTATAACTCATCGGTTGATGAGATTGACTTACAACTATAAGTGATTTATTGAAGCTTTACGAGACCCGAGACTGGAATTTGCACATCTAAAAAAGGGTCATTTCAGTTTGGAGAAATATTTTTGGAAAAAACCTAGAAATAATTATTAAGGTTTTGTCCATAATTCGAAGCAGCGAAAAGTTATCCAAAAATTTTTGCGAAGCGGTTTAGGAGGCGGGTGTTCCAATAAAATGTATCTTATAATTTTTCACAGAAAATACCTGAAGATTGTCAGTGTTTTAAGTAATACTAAAAAGCAATGCGATTTGTGCGTAGAAAGAATTGCTTAATAGAAATTTTGCGATGAGGGCGACGAATTTTCCAAATCATCTTTGTAAACTTTTGCTCTCTGGTCGTTTTTTCAAGATAATCCTAATTAATTTAGGTAAAAAACTTAATAAAATTATTTGGTTTTGGTGAAAATTCGAAGCAGAAATGGATTTTCTAAAGTTCTTTGCAAACCGATGAATGAATCGAATTTTCTAGCAAAATAAATTTTGTCCTTTTTGGCTGAAAAGACCCCATTATTGTCAGAAAAGAAGAAAATCATCAGAAAATAATGTTTTCATGCGTTTTCGATTAAAAACTTTTGGTTTTGTGATTAGTTTTGGAGAAAACCTTAATGGTTTTCGGGGAAAAACGGGAAGAATTTATTTTCGTTTTTGTCCCGAATTTGACGCTGAAAAAGCAAAAAAATCAGTCAAAACTACATAACCACATTTTTTTTCACAAACTCTACAGTCTTCAGAGATATGGAGGTGACGAAATTTTCGTTATAAACTTTCGCTTATTCTGTTCGTTTATTGATAGAAAATTATTTGATTGTTCGTCCAAATTCGAAGCTGGAAAGGGATTTCAAAAGTTTTTAAAAAGCGACGAAGGATTCAAAATATATTTCATAATTTTTCGCGGAAAATACCTAAGCTATAAGATTGTCAGCAGTTTTAAGTGAAACTTTAGAAAATTGAGCCTTTAGAAGAAGGAGTAACTTGGCTAAAACTGGAAAATTCTGAAATTTTGAGGACATTTAAAAATATTATTAATAAATGGCCTTTAAAATAAATCTAAAAACGAGTAAAAAAAAGTAATCAGCATTTTCGAACTGAGTTATTTTGCCGATGTGTTGGGTTGGAGCACCAAACCATTTGCGTAGCACTGCGCCAACTCCTAAAAATGTACTGAGTTACTTAGGCCTAGTCTGGTTGCATTCTTGCCGTTTGTCCAATAAACTCTGTAAGCAGGCATGTTTTTGGATTTAAAAGTTTGAGAAGCACAATTCAAAAACTAGCCAAACAACGGTGACAAATTTGTTAGCAACCTGCCTGGAGGCATGATTGCCGTTTGTCCATTAAACTTTTTAAACAGGCCAGTTTATTCGTGTTTCTACATTAGAAGGTTTGAAGAGTAGAATTGAAAAGCTAACCACAAAAAGGCTAACAAATTTGTCAAATACCTGCTTGGAAACATCATTGCGTTTTGTCCAATAAACTCCTTAAACAACCACTTCATTCACGTTTGTGCATTTAAAGGTTTGAAGAAGACAATTTAAAAACTAACCAAAAAATGCTGACAAATTTGTCAAATACCTGCTTGGAGGCATGATTGCGGTTTGCCCAATAAATTCTTTAAATCAGCACTTTCTGCAGGATTATGTATTTGACGATTTGAAGCGCACAATTCAAAAACTAACCACAAAAACTTCGTGCTGGACCTGCCTGGATGCAGGAATGCCGTTTGTTCATGAAAATCCTTAGTCAAGCAATAATCGCACTTTAAGCGTCCGCACTTTAAGCGTTTTTGGGTAGAACGTAAAGAAAAAAAAACAGTCAAAACTAAAAAACATTTTTTTTTAACAGTCTACAGGGGGACAGAGGGTATGGAGGTGACGCTTATTCCGTTCGTTTTTTGATAGAAAATTATTTGATTTCTGTTCCAAATTTGAAGCTGGAAAGGGATTTCAGAACTTTTACAAAGCGACGAAGGATTCGAAATTTAATTCATATTTTTTCGCGGAAAATACCATAAGATTGTCGGCATTTTTAAGTAAAATTTTAGAAAATTGAGAGTGTAGAAGAAAGAGTAACTTGACTAAAACTGAAAAGTTCTGAAATTTTGAAGAAATTTGAAAAATGTTATTAATAAATGGCCCTTAAAATAAATCTAAAAACAAGTTAAAAAAGTCATCAACATTTTCCCAACAACATAACTGAGTTACTTGGCTGTTGCGTTGGGTTGGCGCACTAAACCATTTGCGTAGCACTGCGCCAGCTCCAAAAAATTAACTGAGTTACCCAAGCCAAATGGGAAGTTTTTCTCGTTTGCAAACTTTCGTTAATTTTTTTTAACAGCTTGATTGAAAAGTTAATAAAATTGCCGTGACCCTAAGCGCCTAATCGGGAGTTTGAACTTGGAAAAAACCTGGAAAAAACCACAAAATTATATTAAATTCCTTACCCGTGCAGATAGGCGAATTACCAAGTGCAATCCCACAAAACAAATCACCATACAAATGCAACAAGGCAGAACCTAGACTGAGTATATTAGGAAAAGAATTAAGCCTAATCATAGACTGTCCTTATTCCACGCATTCGATTAGCATTAGCTTGAATTACCCCGCACAACTTGCACCGATGAAACTTTATACAAAATTACTTTTTTTAGCTGAAAAAAAGTCAAAGTATCACATCGCTCAGCATTACCAAGCATGTTCAAACAAGCCTTTGAAGTCTATCGACAATGCAAAAATCATGTAAATTCGCAAAACATTCAGCACAGGGTTTTCAAAGCAGGGCGATTGAAAGTGCAGTAAATAAACTGTTCACAAATTGAAATTTCTGTCAACTTGTCGTTGTTAAATTATAAAAGCGCCCACTTCAAACTACAAGTTCTTTTCAAATGGAGCTTTCGTATGCGAACTAGACCTGGGTAACACTGTGTTGAAACTTTTTACAAAGCGCCAAAGGATTCAAAATTTATTTCATAATTTTTCGTGGAAAATACCTTAAGAGTGTCAGCACTTTTAAGTGAAATTTTAGAAAATGAGCATTTAGGAGAAAGAGTAATTTGGTTAAAACTGGAAAATTCTGAAATTTTGAAGAAATTTTTAAAATATTATCAGTAAATGGTCATTAAAATAAATCTAAAAACAAATAAAAAAAGTCATCAACATTTTTTCAGCAACAGAACTGAGTTACTGCGCCGGTGCGTTGGGTTGGCGCAACAAACCATTTGCGTAGCAAAATTCTAAAATTCACTGAGTTACCCAGGCCTACTATAGAGTACCTATCCACTAAAGGTAATAAAGCTTTCCGCATTTGTAGAGCCCGATGTGCTCTCAAGATAGTAAAATTTTTAAATTGCTATTTGCTTTAGCCTAGAAGGTGCTAATTTTGAAAAGAAAGAGTTCAGTCAAGTCAAAACTCAAAAAAATTAAACGTTTGAGTTAATTCCATAAAACTTTCAGCATGCATAGACCCAAATATTTTCTGAAGATAGTGAAAGTGTGAAGTTGCTACTTGCTTTACTTTGGCAGAGGAAATTTTTTTAACGAGAGACAGTCGTGTTGCAAGAAAATCCATTTTGAAACTGGCGTTTACAATGCTGCCAAAAATCTGTTTTAAGAGCGATGTTTATTATTTTTTTTGTATCTGTAAAACTAAGTGCTTTCTAAAGACAGCAGGAATTTCAAGCAGTTTTTTGTTTCAGTTTGAAAAATGCAAATTTTTAAAGGGAAGAACGCAGTTTAGTTGAAATGACCGTTTTCAGATCAGTGTTTAAAAAGCAGGAAAAAATGAAGATTTTAGTCAATTTGTAAAACACTTTCAGAATTTACTAGCCAAGTGATCTCTAAATATAGTCAAAATTTCAAGTTGCTACTTGCTTCACTTTGGGAGGTTCGATTTTTGAACATCACAGAGCAGTTTTATAAAGAGACATAAAAATCACTTTTAAGAGTGCAACCGCAAAACAGAACAATCGCTCTTAAAAGGCCCCAAGTTTTAATATCAGCGGACACAATAGTGACAACTTCCAGCTGCAAACGCTGGGAAGTTAATACGTTTTTAATGTGGAAAAGTTTTTTGAAAAATCCCTGAGGATGTCCCAAAAACGAAACTTTCTATCGTTGACAGGGGTTTCTTGAATATTTCATTCGCCCCTTCAAATATTTCAAAACTCCCAACAGACTGAAAAATCGTAAATCCACCGGCATTTGTTTAGGGATGTTTAATGAAGTTTCCAGTGCGATTTAATTGAAAGTTAAGTGCGCACCCCACAAGGAGTTAATGCCAAAGTGTTTTTCCTTATCCAAACGCTTGCCTCTGGTGCGAAGGGCAATTTCTCATAAACTTTTTGTTATTTTTCTATTACGCGTAGAGCAAGGAAAATATTGCACAGCCGAGAGTTTCCCTTCGAAGTACTCAAGCTGTTTAATGTGCAGGCAACTCCATTTTATTCGAGAAACTCACTGCATGGCAGTTTCACTTTTTCGCACGAAAGTCACATCAATCAAATCAGGCTGAAGTTTCACTCAAATAATCGCTTGGCTGTTGATTGAGCACGTCAGCTTTATTGAAAACAATTTGGTTGTTCTTCTGCAAGGAAATAGACAGTTTCATATGGATGTTTAATGAAGCTTTCCAGGCGTTTTAATCGCTGATTGAACAGGCGCCCAAGAGGACTGGACTCATTCACCATGCAAACATGTATTTTAATAAGGTAAAGCTGGGGCCCCTTCCTGAAAAGCTCCTTTGTGGCACGGTCTTATTAAGCCATTTCTCCCGGAAAAAGCTTTATTTTCAACTCGTTTGCTTTGGTTTATTTTGAGCTTCATTTGGCTTCGACGAAAAAGGTCAATACGAAGGAAAAAAGCGCTTGTGTTTCCAATCAAAGGCTCCGTTGCTTTGGCTAGAAAATTGATTTTTGCAAAATTAGCTGCCTTATTAAATTGTCTGTTTTAGGCAAATGTGGCTTTCGCCCATTTTCTTTTGTGCCAAAGCTGTGGTTTTCCCTACGTAAAATATCACAAAACAGCCCTATTAACCCCAGGAAACATTCCGCTCGAGTGGTTAGCGAAAAGAATTAATTTTCGGACTTTCCACGGTCCGGAAACGCGATTTTCCGACGTGAGGCCCCGGCTATCGTTTTCGTTCATTTCCATAATTCCCATTTCTCAAACAAATGCAAAGTCATCTGCTTAGTGTTATTAATTCCGAATTTCCTTTTGCTCTGAACCTAAACGGGTTTTCAAATGGTTTACTTTCGAATTAAATCGGTTCCCGTTTTTCAATTGAGGATATTGCATATTTGCAAGTGTGTCTTTCAGTGTTAATTCTTCAAAAACGGTCAAAAAGACCGGGTTTCCGATGGATCCAATTGGTGAAAATGAATTTCCGAGATTATTCCAACTTTGACTGACGAATTCCATCAGAACAATGTCAAAACAACGTAACTTTCCTGCTTAAATCTGGATTCGTTTGCCAAATATTTCCCAACATGTCGTTGTCCTGAATTGCGTCCGACATATTTCACGAAAACAAATCTTCAAAACGTCATTGCGAATGGGGCGGCTTTTATAAGTTAACACAACGACAGGTTGACAAGAATTTCAATTTGCCAACGGTTTATTTACTGTACTTTCAATCACCCTGCTTTGAAAATCCCTTTGCTGAATGTTTTGCGAATTTACATGATTTGCATTGTCGATAGTCTTCAAAGGCTTGTTTGAACATGCTCGGTATAGCCGAGCGATGCGATACTTTGATCTTTCTTTTTTAGTTTCTAGTTATTTTTGTATAAAGTTTCGCCGGTGCAAATTGCGCGGGGTAAACCAAGCTAATGCTAATCGAATGCGTGGAACAAGGACAGTCTATGATTAGGCTTAGCCTGCGCGCGTGCTTATTCTTTTTCTAATACACTCAGTCTAGGTTCTGCGTTGTTGCATTCGCATGGTGGTTTGTTTTTTGGGTGTTTACTTGGTAATTCTGCTACCTGCACGGGTAAGCAACTTAATATCAATATGTGGTTTTTACCAGGTTTTTTCCAAATTATAACTGCCGATTAGGCGCCTAAGGTCACGGCAATTTGATTAACTTTTTAGTCAAGCTGTTAAAGAAAATTAACGAAAGTTTGCAAACGAGAAAAACTTCCCATTTGGCCTGGGTAACTCAGTTAATTTTTAGGAGTTGGCGCAGTGTTACGAAAAAGTTTTGGGGCGCCCACCCAACTCACCGGCGCAGTAACTCAGTTCAGTTGCTGAGAAAATGTTGATGACTTTTTTACATTTATCTTAAGGGTCATTTATTAATAATATTTTTTTTTTCAAAATTTCAGAATTTTCCAAGTTTAGCCAAGTTACTCTTTCATCTAAATGCTCAATTTCCTAAAATTCACTTAAAAATGCTGACAATCTTAAGGTATTTTCCGCGAAAAATTATTGAAAAAGTTTTGAAATCCCTTTCCAGCTTCGAATTCGGAGCAAAAACCAAATATATATATATATAAATAATCTTTATTTCCTACAGAAAAAGGCTATCGACCCAATCGGTCTTTCTGCCTTTGTTTAGTATATATGTGCCTTAGCCTA